AAACGTCTCATTTATCAGTTACAACTAACATCTCTAGTGAAATACTTGGTTCAACAACAACTGATGTGCCTAAAGAAACTTCTCATTCATCAATTACATCTAACATTCCTAATGAAATACTTAGTTCAACAACAACTTATGTACCAAAAGAAACTTCTCATTCATCAATTACATCTAACATCCTTAATGAAATACTTAGTTCAACAACAACAATTGATGTACCTAAAAAAACGTCTCATTCATCAGTTACAACTAACATCCCTAGTGAGACATTTAGTTCAACAACAACAACTGATGTACCTAAAGAAAAGTCTCTTTTATCTGTTACAACTAACATCCGTAGTGAGACATTTAGCTCAACAACAACTGATGTACCTAAAGAAACGTCTCATTCATCAGTTACAACTAAAATCCCTAATGAAATACTTAGTTCAACAACAACTGATGTACCTAAAGAAACGTCTCATTCATCAGTTACAACTAACATCCCTAATGAAATACTTAGTTCAACAACAACAACTTATGTACCTAAAGAAACGTCTCATTCATCAGTTACAACTAACATCTCTAATGAAATACTTAGTTCAACAACAACTGATGTACCTAAAGAAACTTCTCATTCATCAGTTACAACTAACATCCCTAGTGAAATACTTAGTTCAACAACAACTGATGTACCTAAAGAAACGTCTCATTCATCAGTTACAACTAACATCCCTAGTGAAATACTTAGTTCAACAACAACTGATGTACCTAAAGAAATATATCATTCATCAGTTACAACTAACATCCCTAGTGAGACATTTAGTTCAACAACAACAACTGATGTACCTAAAGAAACTTCTCATTCATCAGTTACAACTAACATCCCTAATGAAATACTTAGTTCAACAACAACTGATGTATCCAAAGAGTACGTTTTTTTAGGTACATCAGTTGTTGTTGTTGAACTAAATGTCTCACTAGGGATGTTAGTTGTAACTGATGAATGAGACGTTTCATTCATCAGTTACAACT